ACCTTTGGTCTCTCTGTTGCCTCTCTAATCAATGCCCTCTTTGCCCGGTCTGTGAGTTTTGGTGGTCGGCCCTGTCTTGGCAGGTTTGTTGTGGTCCCGTGTTGTTTCCATTTGGTGATTATGGATTTGATGGTGCTCCGGGGGATCATCAAAGATGTAGATATTTTTTTATAACCCAGTCCTGACTTGTATCTCTCTATAACTTTGTCCCTGACTTGTTTGGAGAGCTCCTTGGTCTTCATGATGTGATGCTTCTTGCTAAGTGGAGTTGCAGCCCATTGGGGCCTCTCAGAAAAGGTGTGTTTATACTGACACATCATGTGACACTTAGATTGAACACAGGTGGACTTCATTTAACTAATTCTGTGACTTGTGAAGGTAATAGATTGCACCAGCGCTTTTTAAGGGGCTTCATAGCAAAGGGGGTGAATACATATGCACATGCCAATTTTCACTTTTTTATTTCTTTAAATTATTCTTTTATATATATTTTTCTCATTTCACTTCACCAACTTAGATAACTTTGTGCAGATCCATCACATGAAATTTTCAGATGAAAAACATTTAAATTACAGGTTGGAATCTAACAAAATAGTTAAAAAGCAAAGGGGGGTGAATACTTTTGCAAGGCGCTGTACTTCCTACATCTCCTGTCTTCTAACTCTGTATACTCCATCACAATGCTGGTTATTAGAATTATTTTTAGCTTCTACCAGTAGCTCTATAGCTCACTTCTTCTGCCCACAAAAAATGTTTTCACCCTTTGTTGGCCGCAGATTTTGCCCCAGGAGGCTAAAACTGGCAAGTAAGCGTGTGTTAAGTAGGGCTGCCACTAACGATTATTTTCATTGTCGACTAATCTGTTGATTATTTCTTCGATTAGTCGACTAATCATTTCATCAAAAAATGTGTTAAAATGTTGAAAAATGTTGGTCTGTCTCGCCCAAACCCCAAAATTACGTCATCTAATGTCTTATTTCATACTCACGCCAAAGGGTTTTAGTTCACTGTCACGGGAGAGTGTGTAAAGCTGACAATATCTGAACAGAAGAAGCTGCAGTAAGAGTATTTTGGGGTACTTTATAGTGCTTTTCTATGTAAAATGACTCAAACCAATTAGTCGACTACTAAAATAGTCACCGATTATTTTAATAGTCGATTAGTCATCGATTAGTCGACTAATCGTGGCAGCCCTAGTGTGAAGGTGTGTGTTTGTGTTCATGTCAACTGGCTAAAAGCAGAGGATGGCAATGAAAGTGTCCTACTGCAAAAAGGTGCAAAACTTCCCAGTGGATTCACAGACTTGCCCAAGATTCTGAAGAAAGTATGGACATGAGCCAGAGGACAGCTGATTAAGGCCCCATCACACAGAAAGAGTTTTAGCAGCTGGAGGCGGCTTTTGTTAATGTTTTAATGAGAATGACGCTTTTTGCTCACGCTTTGGCCAGAGCCCTCTTTATTCCTCAAGTTGAAAAAACGTAAGCTCAGAGCAGAAAAGCGCCCCACGTCATCTCTGCTCTGAGAAACTGGTGGTGGCGGTTGCTGGATACCCAGAGCTATACGACTTTACAAACTACAGCTACCATGATTTAAATAGAAAACAGCAGGTGTGGAAGCAGATAAGTGCAACGTCCATGATGGAGGAGAAGCTCCTGGACCAACTGGTGGTACTCCCCATGATCCAGCCTCTTTTTTAGGGTCTCATGTACCCACACAGATCTCTGTTTATCTGCTGACAGCCTCTCACCCTCAACCAGAGCTACAGACAGCACCCTCTGCCTCAACATGGCAGCAGCTACAGATTACTGGAGGATAAATAAAACAAATAAATACATAAATGGTAGATTGATTACACGGGAGGGTTGGGGTAAGGTGGTGATGGGGGGTTGCCGCATTTTTTTTTTTACTAGTGGCATTCAGTGTTTAAAAAAAGGCAGTGTGGTGCACTTTGCGTTTTGCAACCTGCAAAAAGCTTTGTGTGATCGGGGCCAAACGGTTCACACTAAGTGACAAAAGGGTCAACGTGTGGATGCATGCGCACAAATGGTCGCAGCTACTGCAAATAGATCCTAGATTTAACAAAAAAATATTTCGCTGGTGGACCTTCTGCTCATCGAGCTCGCTTTTTTAAAAATCAACTCCCCATGCAAAGTCAGGAGGCAGGTTCTATTGAGGTTTTCAAATCTGGGCTTGACTCCCATCTTTGAAACTGCTGAACCTCAGTCGTGTTATTATACAAACATTCCTAATTATGTGTTTGGGATTCTGCCTGTATGTTTGTGTGTGACATCTCATACTTGTGCATCTGATGTTAGATTTTAACCTGTTCAGTTTGCAGACTCTTTGGGTTGTGTGCACTTAGAATAAGCTTACGTAGAAGTTCAGACATTGTTTGATGACCAGATGGTGACTAACCTGAAGGCTTTGTAGAGTGGTCTGAACCAGCAGGTGTAACTGCACGGGCTGAAGAGGATGAGCCAGAGCAGGGAAAAGCCAAAGTTTTGAGCGCTTCCACCCCCAGCCCACCAAGCAATACATGAGATCACATTTATGCACAGCGTGCCTGAATACACTGCAGAGGAGAGAGGACAGCGGAGACGTGGACACAAGTAAAAAGGGAAGAAGGGTCATGATTGATTTTGCAACATGGCAGCAGAGAGGAGAACGCATGTTCTTTGTCCGAAAAATGACTAACACAAAGTTAGGAAATGTATGTAAAAAAAAAACCTTACTCATCCATAGTGTGTAGACTCTGCGCACCAACTGCTGGTGTGGTGCAGGAATTTCCTCTTCAATGTTCTGGTAAAAGCACGGCTTTATTCTCATGAACTGAGGCAGGGGAGGAAAGTTATTGACACGCTCTGAAACAGAAAGCAAAGTGTTATCCTGATATCACCTTCTTACTACTTTATATTCCTGTTTGTCACAACATGCCTGATTACAGGGAGGCGGAGAGAGGAGATAGATAGATAGATAGATAGATAGATAGATAGATAAAAAGTTAAAGTGACAAACCTGCCATTTTGATATCCCAATTCTTTCCTGGATGATAAAAATATACAGAAATGGAAAAAAAAAACATTTAACAACCACACTTTGATAATATTTCAGGAAACGTTTCTCCATAAACCAATTTTCATGTCAGATGTTCTAGGACACTTCTTGGTAGATTACCAAGAAAGCCACCTAAAATTCTAAAGACTACCTTAACTGGTGTGTCTCTGTTATGTTTCTATAAAGAAAACATGCTGCCAAGTAAAATGCTTTAGAAACTTTGGACCTTCAAACACACCAAGGACCCCGACCTCACTCCAATGACATGTTCAGGTTAAATGGGACCGACATGTTTGTTTCTTTTTTTAATGGTTACATCAATCTATCGGTTCAGTTGTTAATTCATTAAATCATTAATGTAACCTAACTATTCATTTTAAAAAGATGGTCCAAATGTTCTGCCATGCTTTTCCATATTATTTTTGCTTTCTATTTCCTTGGTGCGATGTTCTCAGTGGACATGCATGTGTCATAAAAATGTCAAGAGAGGATGGCAGAGAAAATACACACACACACCAATTCAACTGAGCTGGACAGCAACAAAAAAGATTCACAGGATGAGATCGAAGCCAAAAAAATGTCCCAGAGTGGCACTGACGGTGGTCAAGGACCGAAAGGTTTGCTGTTGTTTTGTTTAATCACATTTTATCATTATTTTTTGCACTTTGAGATCTCTTCTTTTTGTGCACGGATGTTTGGAATAAACTGACATTTTTTGGCTTCGATCTCAGCCTGTGAATCTTTTTGTTGCGGTCCAGCTCAGTTGAATTAGTGTACGTGTATTTCCTCTGCCATCCTCTTGAGTGTCTCTTGTAACAACGCACCCAAGAGTAAATTGTCGCCCTCAGCAGGCGCAGCTTCTCAGCAGCCTAAGACTTCAGAAAAATGTCCCATTTTAGCTTAAAGAAGAAGTCCAGTATTTTGCACTTTGAGCCCCATGTCTGGGTTGTTCATGATGAAACAGAGTGGTTAAGACCAAAATAGTGACGGTCGCTCATTTTCGGAGAATTTGTCTTTCCCCTGCCTGGCTTAACACTGCTGCCTATGGCCATGTGTGAACCTGTCCTAAAACCACCCTGAACGTTCGTGTTCAAAGCCATGAATCTCACCGAGTGCTCAGTGGTGTTCGTTGATGTTCTGACATAGAAATAGAAGCAAACTGTGGTTTCCGTGATGATTTATTTGACTTTTTGTCTAACCCACTGGTTTTCTATAGAAGCCTCATTGTCTGTTGGTAGTAATCCGCCACCGGAAATGGAATTGTAGTCATTGTAGTCTTTGAGCTCAGCGAAAGTGCCGGCTCGACAGTGCTGTGTGCGCTCCTGGAGGAAGAACGAGAACCAACGAAAAAGTTTTGTAAAAAGTTTAAACACCTGCACAATGGATTACTCGCTTGTAAACAACCTTCACAGTACGATGCCTTTGAACACAACGCCAACCTCCTTCTTCTGCTTCTTCTCTGTGTTCCATTACATTGCAATGGTTTCCTGCCGGTTGGCGACACCCACGTAAAGGAGCATTATCGCCATCAAATGTATAACGCTTCAGGGTCAAAGGAACGATCAAGCAGAATTTTACACACGGGTGTGAGGCAGCTGAAAAAATAGTTCCACAGTCGAGATGAAGAGTGAAAACACAGATGGAAACCACAGTTTGCTTCGATTTCTATGTCAGAACATCAACGAACACCACTGAGCACTCGGTGAGATTCATGGCTTTGAAGACGAACGTTCAGGGTGGTTTTAGGACAGGTTCACACATGGCCATAGGCAGCAGTGTTAAGCCAGGCAGGGGAAAGACAAATTCTCTGAAAATGAGCGACCGTCACTATTTTGGTCTGAGCCACTCTGTTTCATCATGAACAACCCAGACATGGGCTCAAAGTGCAAAATACTGGACTGCTCCTTTAATTTTTTGTCCCATTTAACCTGAATGCGTTAAATACTCACTCAGGACCCTCTCCCATATAAAATATAATGTGAAAATATTTCTGATTATACGTCCAACAGTTGATCAAATGCAACATCCTGCAACCAGTTTCTGTTGCACCATTTTTGTTTGAGCAGAAAGAGAAAGTCAGCAGAACACATGACTTCCTTTACCAGTCCTGGGACCAGTGATTATTTAATCTTTGCTCTGCTGAGCTCAGTTATCTCACAACAGTTAAAACAGCACTAATGCAATAACATGTCTGATGTTTGTCTGCTCATATTCAAAGCACCCAGGATGTAACACCTTATCTCTCTCATTTTACCTCAAGTCTCAAACTACCTGTCTTCACACATCTTCCTCCTTCATGCTGGTCTGTATTTGCTCCATGACTGGAACACACTGATCACATTTAACATGCTAATGTTAAGCTTCAGCCTGAGTCAGTGACGTTACCCCGGTGGCTCTCTGCACGGTCCAACTTTGCTCCAACAGTTAGCTTAACTAGCTGTAACACAGCAACGTGTCACTGTCCGCTTATTATCGCGCCCACACCTGTGTGAGCTGCTCAGGTGCTCACTTCATGTGCCAGTTCACAGCAGGTCGCAGCTAAAGCGCGTTATTCTGCAGCTAAGTAACAGTACAGAGGCAGAGGTGAGCTCAGTGTCTCTTTATCTGCCACTAACCTTTCTGTCTCATTTAAACAGCTGACCCGCAGCTGATGAGGAGACAAACAGCTGTTTAAGCTCGTGACTCAACCTGAAGCGTTAAATAAATGTGTAAATATTACCGGGATAAGGTTTATCTCCTCGCGCTTCCGTCGACAACTGCAGGGGTCCGGGATTCACTCAGGATGCGCTTTTTCGACCCCATCGAACACACTGCGCATGCGCAACACTGTAGCCTTTGTAGTTCTAAAGCGTTTGAATTCAACGCGCTCGTGGGCGCGAAAAACTACAACTCCCAGGAGTCATGTGAGCGGTAAAAGGGAAACGCGTGATTCCAACATGACGCCCGTTGGTGGTGGATCCCACCCACGCAAATCAGGCAATCTGTAAACAGTTAGGGGCAGGCCGTCATTATCTGGAGCCACTGAGCGGACTCTCTCTTTAAACTCTGTCTATCGTTATTAAATGTCTCAATGTATGATGATGAATTAGTAACAAGAAAGAGTTTGGGCACACACGGTCAGAATTTAGTTTAATGTGAAGAAGATGAACTGATCTCCAAAAAGCATGAAGTGTAGATGACACGTTTATTATAATGTTTTAGGCAAGATGACGTTTTAATTCTTTTCCAGTTTCAGAAATAACAAAAATAGTCAATCTGTGGTTTGACCCAAGAGTAATCATTCAAGGATTTTTGTAATGTCTTGGCACATCTAAATAACATACTAAAAGTATACCATAATATAAGAAGAAGAACACAGAGAAAGGTCCATTGCATACCACACAAAAAACAAATCATTTATGTACAAACATTCACTGTAGGCTAGTAAATATTAAGATAAAGACAAGAAATATCCAACGCTACATTATACAAGTTCATAAAAATGGACAAAACTGCAGCCACAACCAAGCTGAGAGCCAGTGGCCCCTCAGCTCAGGGTCGGCCAAGGCCTGGACGATATATTCTCTGAGACAGAGATCCTGCACATAAATCAATATATAAGATAAGGTATTAGGCACACTAACATTTACAAACATTTGGCTAGCATGACACCATCATGGAAGTTTAAGAAGTCGACTCACGCCATCCTTTAAGGCCACATTAAAGCCCCGTATCCACTGAACGGTACAGAACGATTCAGCTCGGTACGCTTTTTTACTGTTTCCGCGGTGAAAGTTGTGGATGGTAGCAACAGAAGCGTTCCTTAGCGTCCCCATGTTTGGTCCCCCCTCTGTTGGGGTACCTAGCACACAGATCTGGTACTAAAAGGTGGAGCTAGAAACCCTGCAGTCTGATTGGTCAGTGGAGAGTCGTCACTTTTGCTTGATAAAGGACTCAATGCACGAAGCAGAAACACGCTGTTTCTGTATCCAGCTCAGAGTCTTTCAGTTCTTGTTTGGAGGATTTTCATCCATTCTTCCTGCAGAAGGCTTCTAGCTCTGTGAGATTCTTGGGCCGTCTTCATGCTCTGCTCTTTGAGCTCTATCCACAGATGTTTAATGATGTTCAGGTCGGGGGACTGTGAGGGGCGTGGCTGTGGATTTTGAGGTGTGTTTAGGATCATTGTCCTGTTGTAGAGGCCATCCACTCACCATCCGCAGCTTTTTTACAGATGCTGTGATGTTTGCTTCCAGGATTTGCTGGAATTTCATTTAATCCATTCGTCCCTCTACCTGTGAAATGTTCCCCGTGCCACTGGCTGCAACACAAGCCCAAAACATGATCGAACCATCTCCATGTTTAACAGTTGGACAGGTGTGTCTTTTATGAAATTCTGCTCCCTTTTCTTCAAACATACAGTCAGGTCCATAATTATTTGGACAATGATACAGTTGTCATCATTTTGGCTCTGTTCACCACCACAATGGGTTTTAAATGAAACAATGAATACCTGCTTAAAGTGCAGACTCTCAGCTTTCATTTAAGGCTTTTTTCAAAAATGTAGTATGAACCGTGTAGGAATTACAACCATTTCTTCACACAGTCCCCCGACTTTAAGGGCTCATAAGTATTTGGACAAACTAACATAATCATCATTTAAACAGTCAGTTTTAATACTTGGTTGCAAATCCTTTACAGTCAATGACTGCCTGAAGTGTTGGACACATAGGCATCATCAGATGCTGGGTTTCTTCCCTGGTGATGCTCTGCCAGCCCTTTACTGCAGCCGTCTGCACTTCCTGCTTGTGTTTTGGGTGTTTTGCCCTCAGTTTTGGCTTCAGCAAGAGAAACGCATGCTCAGTTGGATTCAGGTCAGATGATATGACTTGGCCATTGCAGAACATTCCACTTCTTTGCCTTAAAAATGTCTTTGGTTGCTTTTGCATTATGCTTCAGGTCATTGTCCATCTGCACTGTGAAGCATCGTCCAATGAGTTTTGAAGCATTTAATTGAATCTGAGCAGATAATGGTGCCCCAAACACTTCAGTTTTCATCCTGCTGCTCTTGTTAGCAAGACTAGACTTCACTAGAATAAATACAGAGGGTTTTTCACAAGATGCAAACCATTGGTTAGCCTTAAAAATGGAAGGCCAGATTAGAGTTTGTCAAAAACCATCTAAAAAGCCTGTACAGTTGTGGAACAGCATACTATGGACAGATAAAACAAAGATCAACTACCAGAATGATGGGAAGACAAGAGAAGGAAGAAGGGAAGGAACTGCTCATAACTCTGCTCGGCGCTCTGCTGCTCAGAGAGTGCCGTGCTCTAAATGACCGAACACAACATTCCAGCAGCGCTCTGAATTCATGAATGGTCCAGGTTGTGCCAGAGTGTGCTCCGACAGTCAGAGTGAGTATTTCCAAACGCACTCATTAGAACCCAGTCAGAATGTTTGTTTCAAATTGTCTATGCAGTAAAATTGTGACATCATAAATTCACAGAAATCCTGACGGCTTGTTTAAAGGCACAGTTTCTGAATATGACCTGTGTGCATTTCTCTGTGAACTGAGTGTTTATTTTTGTTGTTGTTGTTTTAAGGTGGTGTACATTTTATAAAGAAGTAAACTTTATAAAGCTCAAAATTCTGACCACTATCTTTTTTTTATCAACAGCATTCAGTTGTTCTTTTTTCAATATTTAAGTACAGTAAATATCAGATACTTTAAGACTTTTACTCAAGTAATATTCTAACAGATGACATTAACTTTGACCTAAGTCCTTTTCTGGTAAGATAGCTGTACTTTTACTCTCGTGGGTTTCAGGTACGTCATGCACCACTGAGTTATGTATTGTTGAGTAAACAGTCTTTTTTTTTAAATTTCAAAACACTTTATTTATAGCAAAGAGCTTTACAACAATTCTCATACAAGAAAAAACTTCATGTCAGAGGTATTAAAAGCTCATTTTTATTAAGTCCTTTCAGAGTTTAAAAAAATGTACATCCTTAAAGTCTTTGTAGCTTTTTTGTTCTTCACATGTTTAAGCAAGGTGCCATACTGCTTGAGTTCAACAATAAGCAAAACAAAGATGGCTTTGGAGTCAGACCATGACCAGAAGCTGAATATTATAGGTAATATTACCATCCATCTGATAGAACACAAAATATAACATCACATCGAATACATTAATCTGTGTAATAATGCCAATTTTCCCATTTATAATGTCTTACATATCTGTCCAAAATAAACCTGAATGATCAAACAAATGAAATATTGTTTCTCTGTCTGAATTACAAAAAGCACATGTATAATCTTAGTATATCTGATGTGTCTGTTACTGCACAGTTTATTCAGAAAATCAATATTTCCAATAAAAACATGCTTAGAGCTAATAATGTTCATTTCCATAAGATCACAGTTTTTAAAAACTGAAGAGAAACCGTGGGGTCAGCATGAAAAATAATAGCATATTCTTTTGGTGTAACTGGTGTCATACATTTCTGAAGAAACTTTGAATATAACAGAAACATAACAAATTGGTTTACCAACTGACCCACCAACAAACTTCTGTTGTCAAACCAACAACGATAAAACAGTGATTTGTTTTTGTATAGATTATCCTCATTATTCCAGATAAAGAACCTTTAACCTCCTGAGACCCCAGTTTTTGTTTAGTATGCATGTGTAATTTCTCCTAGCTATTCGGGATGAAAAGGACCTGATAAATATATATATATGGGGCATTCTACCGAATGTGTGCAAAGTTAGGCTGGAAATATTTCGAAATTTTGTATGTTTTATTTCCAAAACTTTGTCCCTATATATATTGTACCATATGTAAAGGCCACATATCTAGTAAAATGACTGTAAATGTTTATATTGTATTTTCAGACTGTTTTGGAATGTTTTTCCTCTCCCAAAATTTGTCACTAACTAAGAAACATATAGTATTATATTATACAAAAAAAATCTATCAACCTGTTATGCTTGTTCCTTCCCTTGTTTAAAGATTTAATTTTTTACAAATTTTGACTGAAGGTTTTCACAATTAAATCTATAAAAATTAATATTTTAACAAATTTCGAAGTTCAAATTATAGAATTCCTGAAAATCTAAATGCAATCTTTCTTTGTAAAATGCATAACGCTGATCAGATTGATTTCAGAGTTAATAATTGATGAAACAGAACATAAATGTAACCGATTAGCATCATAATACTTTAGTTGATAACTCAGTATACTTTATTTTTTACAAAACACCCAGTGTTTCGGTAGTGACCATTATACTGTTTTTAAGGTTGCATCATATTTCCTCAAATGTATGCCTTATGGTGGGAATATTACAAAGAAAAAGACAAATGTTTTGTGGTCAATAAAACAATTTAATTTTTGAGAGGGCAGAGCAGAGTAGAGTAGAGTGGAGAAGAGTATAGTGGAGCAGAGTATAGTAGAATATAATAGAGTAATCTTTGTAAATATCTATGTCTGAATACTCAATTTTATTATTTTTGTTGTTTTTTGTTAAGTAGGAAAGCCCTAAACGGTCATACATACATACATACATACATACATTTTATTTCCACTGTTTTCTCGTGATAACGAGATAATTTTCTTCTGTCTTCTCGTGATAACGAGATAAGTTTCCTCCATTTTCCCGTGATAGAGATAATTTTCCTCCGTATTCCCGTGATAACGAGATAATTAATTTGAGAGATAATGAATGAAACGTGATAGGCCTGAGATTTCCATCACAGTGACATGTCATGCTGACTGATGTCTCCTTGAACACCAACATTAAGCCTAGTTCTCTGTGTTTTGTTTTGTG